TGTTGTCTCCGAGCCACCAATAAGTTATTATATTTATTTATTTTATATTTGCTTACTGTGTCCTAGCTTCTCATTTTGTTTTGATATGCCCAAATAGGCTGCTCGTATGAGCTAGTTTGATTATTGGCAGCTTTGAAGCTCTAATATCCTGTCACCAGGTGGTTAGATCTGTTACTAGGTATGTGAGCTCAGGAGTTCGCCCACTCCTCCTGTATGGATTCAGCTCAGGTGCCCAGGTAGAAAACCACCAAGTGTGAGATATAGGCTGTCACTTACAGTATAGACAGGCATGGGTGATTGATGTAGGCACAGACATCTAGCTGCAGCAGGGGACACACTCTGGGCAAGGCAGGGGGCTGACGGCCACCCCCAAGTGTCCAGCAGGAAGGCGTGTCCCTGTTCCGTAGAGCACGCAGACGGGTGGGTTTTGCAGCTGGACTATGAGCACCTAATGCTGTTGGCTTAAGGACTGGGGGGCACCTCTTATTCACGGGCCCCTATCACAGGTGGCTAGGTGGCGTGGGTGGAGCCACCAGTCTTCAGGCCTCTGATGTGGGTAGGTGAAGACCATGCTTAATGGGCAGAGCAGTGTCAAATGTGAAGAACCTGCCACTTCATAGCTGAAACAATTGAAGTTAGACTTCCGATATATACCGTTGTACTGTGGTAATGAGGGCCTATGCTGCTGAGATGGGCCCACACAAGTCTATGCAGGGGGAAAGGCACTCCAAGTCCATGGATCACTTATGCCTATGCCTAGGCAAAGGAGCTGTGCCTATTCTGGGTTCCTGGCTTAGGGGAGCTGGCAGTTTATTTTTTCCTGTTTGTTAATTTGTTCACTCTCCTAGGCAGGGAGAATGGCTCCGGGCGTGTGACGGATCCTACTTCCGGCCCAGGGGACTTGGCAATTGCTGAAGTCAGTCCAGGACCCAGTGCAGAGCAGGGAGCAGGGAGGTAAATGGGAGGGAGGTTTTCCCCTAAAAGGGGTGTTTTTGGTCCACACGGTAGGCCGTACAGAATTACTTATCTTTCGCTGATCCAGGGCTGCTTCTCACTGGTTCTGGGTGGCCATGTAGACTCTCTGGCGCTGGCTCTCTCCCAGTGCAGAAAACGCGCCTTCCAAGCACCACCGCTTGCCTGCCTCACTGCTTGCCCCCGAGCTCATCAGGCCTGACGGGCTCAGGCTCTCGCTGGGTCAGGTCTGGCAACTCCTTGCCGCTTCTGAACCGTCTCTCCCTCCCCCTGCCTCTCAGTCCAGTTCCTCTACTCTGCCTTTGATCTTAAGGGCTCCCAGACTGCCATATATAATCAACTCGTTTTTTCGGGTCTTTGTTTAAGAGGGTCCACCAGAAGCGCCTGACTAGTCTGCCATCTCTGCCCCGCCTCCCCTCTTTATCAACTATCTAAATTCTCAATCTTCCTAACTTCTTGTTGTTTTTAGGTGCTATCGAGTTGGTTCCGACTCATAACGACGCTCTGTACAACAGAAGGAAACACTGCCTGGTCCTGCACCATCCTCACAATTGTTGCTATGTTTAAGTCCATTATTACAGCCACTGTGTCGATCCATTTTGTCGTGGGTCTTCCTCTTTTCCACTGACCCTCTAGTTTACCAAGCGTGATGTCCTTCTCTAGGGACAGATCCCTCCTGATAACATGTCCAAAGCATGTGAGATGAAGTCTCGCCATCCTCGGTTCTAAGGAACATTCTGGCTGTACTTCTTCCAGGACAGATTTGTTCATTCTTCTGGCAGTCCACTCAATATTCTTCGCCAATACCATAATTCAAATGCATCAATTCTTCTTTGGTCTCCCTTATTTACTGTCTAGCTTTCACATGCATACGAGGAGACTGAAAATACCATGACTTGGGTCAGGCGCACCTTAGTTCTTATTTTAATAGTTTAAAGAGGTGTTTTGCAGCAGATGTGCCCATTGCAATCCCTATCTAGGAAATATGAAGTAAGATGAATTATGTAGTATCTTACCCCAAAAAAATTTCCCCATAGGATGTCCAGGTCTAGCAAGGCTTCCAAACAACATTTCTTTTCTGTTTGCATCAGAAGGTCTCGCAAGTTGATATTCTGTCAATTTTAAAGGAACACTTTTAATAAAATGAAATTCAGCATCTGCTGGAAATTCAGGCTTACAATACTGAAAGCAAGAAAGTAATAAAAATTAACTTTGTGAAACATGTTGTAAGGCTGAAATGGGGAACTTGATCTAGGGTTAGCTCTATGACTTAACAAATTGTATATATCTTTGGGTAAGAAAATTCATCTTCTAGTGGTTCCCTCTTATCTTTCAACTGAAACAAAGCAGTTAATGGTCTTAAGGTTTTGGCTCCAGTATACTATGTCCAAGACTTAATGAATGAAAGTGCTAATATATATTAAATCAAATTTCTTATATCTGGGAACTCTGCCATATACTTTGTTTAAATTTCCTCCAAAGCCAACTATGTTGGTATTAAAATATGATGGCAAAGAACAAGAGCTTTGCCGTTGTACAAAATATGGCAGTTCCTCAAAAAGTTAAACATAGAACTACCATATGACCAAGAAATTCTACTCCTAGGGAAATTTTATATACCCAAGAGACTTGAAAGCACTGACACAGGCAGACACATGTTCATTGCAGCACTATTCACAACAGCCAAAAGGTGGAAACAACCCAAGTGTCCAACAGCAGATGAATGGATAAACAAAATGTGGTATATAAACACAATGAAATATTTGCATCCATAAAATGGAATGAAGTTCTGATACATGCTACAACATGGATGAATCTTAAAAACATACTAAATGAAATAAGCCAGGCACAAAAAGACAAATATCATATGATTCCACTTATATGAAATGCCCAGAATAAGTAAATCCATAGAGACAAATAGTAGATTAGAGGTTACCAGGGGCTGGGGAAAAGGGTGAACTGGATTATTGCTTAACGGTTACACAGTTTCTGTTTGAGGTAATGAAAAATTTCTGAAAATCGATAGTGGTGATGGCTGTATAATATTATGAATATAATTAACACCACAAAATTGTACACTTAAAAGCAGTTAAAATGGCAAATTTTATATAAATTTTGCCAAAATAAAAATGACACATTAAAAAAAACTTGAAAGGGCTTTCAGATATTTCCATAGTTTTTTTGTTCTTTCACCCATTTAACAAATATTTACCTGGGTCTATGATAAAACAGACACTGTGGTAGGCAAGTAACAAAACTAAAGAAAACACTGTCCTTGACTTCAAGGAACTAGTAGACCTAGGAGGAACCTAACATCATCTCATTCCCTTTTACAAAAATTGAGGGCCTAAGTTAGTGACATTTCTATAAATACAACACAGGTCTGTTGACTTCCAGACAGACGGCTCTTTCTAGGTATCTACAGCTTACTCAGCCTAGCGAATGCGTTACATCATTATTAGTACTAGACACTGAATCCAGTTGAGAAGCAAAATACTACAAAAGGAGGAACAAATACAGGTATTTTGCCTCTTCAGTTGCTGCAAGCTAAGCCTAATCTATGTGAACTGAAATTCTCCCAAGTCTAGGATTACATGCCTCTAATGCTAAAACAAGGCAAGCAAGGCCAATCTACAGTGATGCTATTTATCAGCACTCTATAATTAAGAAATACTTGTAGTACAGCTCTATAATGAAGCCTCACCCTAAACAAGCATACAGTTTTCCTTATGATCTTCATTCTTTAAATCCCAAAGATAAAAGAAACAGTCACAAAGTAGAATTAAATGAATTTTCTGCTCAGGGATTTAGTTTCTTTATCTATAAATATACCACAATGATTTTCAGACCTAACAACATTCAAGCCATGAAGCAACTGCACACATAGGTCACAAAAGGTAAGCTATATAAATTATCCAGATAGTACTTAATGAAGTCTCCGGGAAAATGTCTCTTCACGCAAAAACAATAAGTGAACTTATCAAGTTTTAACACCTACTATTAGCTTTAAGAATTAGACTCATGTCCTGCAAAAGACAGGCCACTATGGTAGAACCCTCAAAAAACAGAGGTTGAAAAAACTATAATTTACCATCCTTTTGACTTATTTCAATTAGACATTTAATGACTTCATAAGTTAGACATTTAATGACTTTATAAGTTAGACATTTAATGACTTCAGCAATAAATATGACACATCCAGTTCAATTCAGCCCTCTATGATATAAAGATTAAATGGTCTACTGAGAAAGAATAATAAATGTACTAAATAAAATTCAATGATGGTAAAATTATGGTAAGACATAAAGCACTTCTCTTACCACTATCAACAGCTTCAACTTCACGGTCAATTGCATCTCTGATCATTAGTGGATGGATGAAGAATTGGGCCCACCTAAGCAGAAACAAACAACTGGCGTATCTGTTTTTGCTCAGTAAAAGATTTTCATCAATCAACATCTATTTTTTTTAATTAAGAAATTTTACTGAGTTTGAGATTTAGTTCACAATCATGCCTATGTAAAATCTAAACAATATCTAGTATTTCTATATTTTAAACTAAAATCTACGAACTATTTTAACCTTTTTATTGTGACTATACATACAGAAAAATATATAAAACATAACATACACACTAATGCATAACAACAAAGCAAATACTTGTGCGGCCACCACCCAGGTCAAGCAATAGACAATTGTCAGTACCCTAGAAGCACCCTTCAGCCATGTGATCCTTTAAAATCATAGCCTCCACTCTACTCTCAGAGTTAACTACTACCTTTAATGTTACAGTAATTCACTTCTCTACTTTCTTTATAGTTTTACCACCTGTGTATGTATTTCTAGATCATTTGTTTCTCAGTCTTTTTTTTTCCCCACTATTGCTCCCTAAGGAGCCTTTTCAGACACTTTTTCCTACTTGCCCCCATGAAATTATACTAGAGATATACTGTTTATATACTGGATGCGTATATGTGCGTTTATATATAAAACAAGGCATAAAGCTTAGTTTTTATTCGGTGCAGGGTTACAAGTAACTAAATAAAAATTTTAGTTGTTAAAAATGTTGAAACTATTAACATTCAACTTTGTAACTATATTTGCTGTGTAATTTCATTATAATTTGTTATAAATTGTGATGCATCATATCACATAGGCGAAGTATTCATTTATATAAATACATAATAGTAATCACAGCAATGCAATCAAATTTTTAAAATATCATCCAAAACTGTTATTTTTCTAGCAAAAGTAAAATAACTGAAAAACTAATTTCCAGTGAACAATGCTGTGATATTTTGCATGTCTGGGCATATACTGTTTGACTCGTTTTCTTTTCCTATGTATCTAATGCATCTTATTTCTGTGGATTATGGTTAGTGGGGCAGCTCAGTGAACTATCAGAATGTGAGGTATTCTCAAATGAAGTTTCTATGACACCAGTAAAGGTACAGGAGTCCCTGGGTGGCATAAATGGTTGAGCACTCAACTATTAGTTGAAAGGTTGCCACTTTGAACCCATGCAGAGAGGCCTCCGAAGACAGGCCTGCTGATCTGCTTCTGAAACGTCACAGCCTTAAAAGCCTACAGAGAAGTTCTACTCTGCACACACAGGACTGCCATGAGTCGGAATCAACTGGATGGCAACTAACAACATTTAACTTTTGCTTGACATGAGAAGATAACTTTTAACTAGCTGCTAGATAGTCATACAGGTATTGACTTTTTTTTCAGCACCTGATATAATTAATGATGGACTGAGTAACTTTCATTAAATTAAAAAATAAAATAGAAACTACAGTATTTTTATTTAATTCTCAAAACTCAAGTTGCACACAAAAGCACCAAGGATCAAACATAAACAACATCCACAAGGCAGCCGACGGCACCTAATAGCCTCATGCAGAATGCCTCTCTCAATGACTTCTAGATCAAGCAATCAATTGAAAGTCTTCCAATCACAACAATCTATAAACTATAGTTTTGTAAGATTGATCTTGCAGACATTTTGTATCTCTTTCCTGAACTCAATGTCAGTGTAAATGGTGCTCTGAGACCGAAGAAAACTGAAAGAGAAACTAGACACTAAGCAATAACAATTTTGTCAGGTAGTGTTTAGCTTTGAAGGGCCACAAACAATTGTAACATCTACCATTTTTTAACCTCCCCCCAATCAGGTTTTGACAACAAAGAAGACAATATCACCTCTGTTGAGAATATATGCTCTAAACAACATAGTTTTGGTTTTGAACTTTATATAAATGGAAATATACTTTACATATTCTTTCATATTTGATTAATTCAACATTGTTTGTAGTATTTAACCATGACATTACCTGTGATTGTGGCTCATTTATATTCATTGCTGTATAATATTCAACGGCACAAATTTATTCATCCATTGTACTGCTAATGGACATTTGGGCTATTTCTGGGTTTGGACTATTACAAACGTTGCTGCCATAAACATTCATATACATGTGTCTTGGGCACATGTGCACAGGCCTAACTATTTATCTATACAAAAGAAACTGCTAGGTTAATTGCATATGCATGCATATGTTCAACATTACTACATAATACTAAACTTTTCCAAAGTGACTACACCAATTTAAAATTGCATCAGCAGTTCCAATTCCTCCATTCCCCCTCAATCTTATTTGGTTTTGTCAGACTTTAAAATTTTCTGCAACTTGTAGGAACATCGTTAAATCTTATAATGGTTTTAATTTATATTTTCTTGATTAATAATGAGGCTGAGCACAATTTCATAGACTTATCAAACGTTTAAATTTCTTCTTTTGTAAAATGCCTGTTCAAGTCTTTTTCTATTGGTTTATATATTTTCTTATTGTTCATATATTCTAAATATAAGCCCTTAGTTATGTGTTGCAAATACATATTTCTACTTTACACTTTTTTTTTCACTCTTTTTAAGGTGTCTTTTGATGAACTTGATGTACTATCAAATTTTCCTTTATGCTTTAGGCTTTTTGCATTTTCTTAGATGAATCTTTACATGTGCTGACATAGAAAACTCTTATCTCTTAAACTTTTATAGTTGTGCCTTTCACTTCATGGCCCACCTAAAATTGATTTTTTGTATATGTTGTAAGATAGGGAGGCAATTCTGTTTTTGTCCTGAAGGAAGCCCAATTGTCCTAGTACCATTTCTTAACAACAGTGCTCTCTCCACTGTTCGGCAGAGACACTTGTCAAAGATCAAGTAAGTGTTCACATATGTGTTGGTCTACTTTCAGGAACTCTATTCTACTCCATCAGTCTCTTTGTTGTTGTTGTTACGTGCCATCTAGTCAGTTCTGACTCACAGCTATTATAAAAGAACGGAACACTGCCCGGTTCTGCGCCATCCTCACAATCACTGCTATGCTTGAGCCCATCGTTGCAGCCACTGTGTCAATCCATCTCGTCGAGGGTCTTCCTCTTTTTCACTGACCTCTACCTTAACAAGCATGATGTACTTCTCCAGGGACTGGTTCCTACTGATAACATGTCCAAAGTACGTGAGATGAAGTCTCACCATCCTCGCTTCCAAAAAGCCTATGGCTGTACGTCTTCCAAGACAGACCTGTTTGTTCTTCTGGCAGTCCATGGTATATTCAATATTCTTTGCCAAAACCATAATTCAAATGCATCAATTCTTCTTCAGTCTTCCTTATTCATAGTTCAGGTTTGCATGCATACGAGGTGATTGAAAATATCATGGCTTGGGTCAGGGCTTACCTTAGTCCTCAAAGTGACATCTTTGCTTTTCAACACTTTAAAGAAGTCTTTTGCAGTAGATTCGCCCAATGCAATATGTTGCTTGACTTCTTGACTACTGCTTCCATGGGTGTTGATTGTGGATCCAATAAAATGAAATCCTTGACAACTTCAATATTTTTTCCATTTATTATGATGTTGCTTATTAGTCCAGTTGTAAACATTTTTCTTTTCTTTATGTTGAGGTGTAATCCATACGAAAGGCTGTAGTCTTTAATCTTCATCAGTAAGTGCCTCAAGTCCTCTTTGCTTTCAACAAGCAAGGTTGTGTCAACTGCACATCACAGGTTATTAATGAGTCTTCCTCCAATGCTGATGCCCCCCTTCTTCTTCATATAGTCCAGCTTCTTGGATTATTTGCTCAGCGTACAAATTTAATAAGCATGGTGAAAGGATACAACCCTGACGCACACCTTTCCTGACTTTAAACTGCACAGTATCCCCTTGTTCTGTTTGAATGACTGCCTCTTGGTCTATGTACAGGTTCCTCGTGAGCACAATTAAGTGTTCTGGAATTCCTATTCTTTGCAATGTTACCCATAATTTGTTACAATCCACACAGTCAAATGCCTTTGCATAGTCAATGAAACATAGATAAACATCTTTCTGGTATTCTCTGCTTTCAGCCAGGACCCATCTGACATCAGCAATGATATCCCTCGTTCCACGTCCTCTTCTGAATCTGGCTTGAATTTCTGGCAGTTCCCTGTCTATGTACTGCTACAAAAGCTTTTGAATTATCTTCAGCAAAATTTTACTTGCATGGGATATTAGTGATATTGTTTGATAATTTCCACATTCTGTTGGATCACCTTTCTTTGGTGTGGGCACAAATATGAATCTTTTCCAGTCAGTTGGCCAGGTAGCTGTCTTCCAAATTTCTTCGCATAGGTGAGCGAGCACTTCCAGTGCTGCATACATTTGTTGAAACATCTCAATTGGTATTCCTACAATTCCTGGAGCCTTGTTTTTGCCAATGACTTCAGTGCAGTTTGGACTTCTTCCCTCAGTACCATCAGTTCTTGATCATCTGCTACCTCCTGAAATGGCTGAACATTAACCAATTCTTTTTGGTACAGTGACTGTGTATTCCTTCCATCTTCTTTTGCTGCTTCCTGCGTCATTCAATATTTTGCCCATAGAATCCTTCAATATTGCAACTGGAGGCATGAGTTACTTTCTTCAGTTTCTTCAGCTTGAGAAATGCTGAGCATGTTCTTCCCTTTTGGTTTTCTATCGCCAGCTCTTTGCACATTTAATTACAATATTTTGTCTTCTTGAGCCGACCTTTGAAATCTTCTGTTCGGCTCTTTTGCTTTCTTCCATTCGTTTTAGCTACTCTATGTTCAAGAGCAAGTTTCAGAGTCTCTTCTGACATCCATTTTGGTCTTTTCTTTCTTTCCCGTCTTTTTAATGACCTCTTGCTTTCTTTATGTAGGATGTCCTTGATGTCTTCCCACAACTCGTCTGGTCTTTGGTCATTAGTGTTTGATGCATCAAATCTATTCTTTAGAAGGTCTCCAAATTCAGGTGGAAAATACTCAAGGTTGTATTTTGGCTTTCATGGACTTATTTTAATTTTTTTCAGCTTCAGCCTGAATTTGCATATGA